GGGGGGGGGATAAATCACAAATCGTAGTTGTTCTGGTCTATGAAACTTTTTTTTGGAGGGGAGGATGGGATGGATCACGCGTTTTTTTTTTCTTAATGAGAAAACTGGAGAACGTGGGGTTGAGCAAAAGGTCAAAGTGTGCGACGATGGTGTAAGTCTAGAGTACGCTATTTGCCTTGTTTCTCTTTTGGATGACTGGGGTGTGGATTTTTCGGATGAAGAACGATATCGATGTTATACGTTTGTGGAGGGAAGTTACAGTGGGGACCATACACGAGCGAACTAAGTTCTATGCGGATTATTAGGGTCAACCAGTATCAATGGAATCTGTGGGTGGAGTTTTGATCCTCTGACTAGTTGGGAGGGGAAAAAGTGGGTTTGCATGCATGCATGCGATGAGTACACTGACGGTGGTCGGTGTGTGGGGCTGCCAGCGTCGTGGTTATGCGTTGTACGTGCAGGTAAGACAATTGATAAGGGAAGATGCCAGTTTTTTTTTGCTTTTTATGCGTTTGATGTATAGTATGTCAAGCACGCATCTGCACAATCTTCTACCGCACCAGCAAAAGAAGAAGAAAAAAAAGAAACATAAACGTAAGGCAGGTTCATGTTGTGCAAGTTAAACGTCATAACATATGCGTAAAGTTTAAAGTAGACTTTCCTAGGCAATGAGTACTCAACAATATAACAAACATTCACAAATCTCACTGTTGGGCGCAAATGCACAATTTCATAACAAGTAGAATACTGAATCAAAGAGCGTATTATTTTCAATCCCCCGCTCGTCCTGCAAAACCATCTGCACATCTATATACCTCTCACACTCCATGCCCGAAATAAACTAAGATGAAAGAGAACGGCTCCGCCATGACTAAAGTAGATAAGCAATGCATTAAAGGGAGAGAAAAGCAAATGGGAAATCTATGAAGCCGCTAAAAAAAAGAGAATGTAAACCGCAAGCATAAAGTTAGTTATAATGCAAAAGTGTGATGATTGTGGATGTGACAAGAGATTAAGAGAAGAACGAGAGAGAAAAAAAGGGGTGAGAGATACAATCCAACCCGCAGTTTTGCAAAGGTAAAATGAACAACGCCATAATGTGCATGCTATACGCAAACTCAAATAAGCAACACTCTCTTCTTTTTCTTGGTCCAGCAATCCTTGACTTTTTTGTTAAACCCACTAAAAGTTCGTCACAGGGAACCCCCTTGTAAGACCAGCGTCATCTCCCATACAAGCCCCGTCTGCTAACGTCATAATACGTATATATTCATAGAGCAGAAAGAGAGGGCAAGGCGGGAAGAGCCGTGTGAGTGGGATATAGTAGGCAAGGTGGCTTGGTGACCTCGACTCCAAACACGATCTTGACCGCATGCATGCAGGTCAAACTGGAAACGTCTCACTTGGATCCGACGAGCAGTTCGGATCCTGGCACATTGTGGCCAAAGTCCAGGATCAGCGTTCGGCCGTCTTGACTCGTAGCCACAACTCGCCTATAATCGCTCTTAGCAGATAGAATCCAGCTCGTTGTCCAGTTCTTGTATACGGCATATGTCTGTCCGGTTTCGTAATCAGAGACTTGGATGCTCTGGTCGTATGATCCTGATACAATGCGTCCGTTGAAGGCGTCGAGGAAAAGCGAACGAACGAGACCGTCGTGCTTGACCCTGCTGTGCACAAGCTCACCAGTAGACGCGTCAAACTTGTAGACAACGTGGTCGTTGCCTCCGGCGAGTACGTACTTGGCATCATCGGAGAACTCGACAGCGGCAAGACCACGGTCTTCGGATGGGAAATCCTTGATTGAGACACCAGTCTCGAGGTTCCACAGCTTGGCTACACCATCACCGCTGGCAGAGACGAGGAAGTTGCCTCGGAGCTGCACAGCGTTGACCGGGCCTCGGTGGCCCTTGAGAGTGCGGAGACAGTTGCCAGTCTTGCGGTCCCAAACTTTGATCATGGCGTCCTTCGAGCACGAAATGATGTACTTGTCATCAAGGCAGACATCCAAAACACCAGCTTCATGGCCACGCAGCCTGTACATGGGAACGTATTCCTCGCCTGTGATATCCCAAACAATGCAAGTGTAGTCTGAAGAACCAGTGACCATAATCTCGCTGTCGTACTGGAGGCAGAGAATGGACGCGTCATGGTAATCGGCGGGAACTGTGTAGATGTCGTTGCCGATCTTTGTACCGTTCATCGAGGCGTTGCTAATGACACGCTCTGGTCGCTCCTCCATGGGGGGAGGGGTATTGGCGGTTGGGCGGTGGTTAGGACCTCCGTATACCTTGATGCACTTGTACGTCTGGAGGTCCCACACACGGATGGTGCGGTCGCGCGAGCCGGTAATGGCCTTGTTCTCGTCGAACTGGCAGCAATAGACGCTATCTGTGTGGCCGTTGAGGTAAATGGCAGCAGGTGTACCGGCCTTCCATCGGGCGTCGATCGTAGCTCTCGCCTGGAACATCTTCTTCCAGTCTTGTGCAGGTGCTGGGTTTCCGCCCGCCATCTTGCCAGTGCCCAGGCCGCCCATTTGGATTGGCGCAGGTGAGACGTGTACTTCGGGCTCGTGCTTGCGGAGGAAGACGTTCCGCCAGACGTGGGGCGACGCAGCATGCTCGTTCCAGCTGCGCGATACCCGCTCAGCACGGACGAGCGAGGCAGCATCGAGGTTAGAGAGGACAGTGGTAGCGAGTTCGGCTGGGAGGCGCTGGAACGGATCGACTGGGGTGGTTAGCGAAGGTCGGCTGGCGAGTGGATGCAACAACTCACTCATCTTCTTCTCGGTGACGCTATCCGCCCGGACAATAGGCGATGCACACGTCATGTCCACGCCGCTCTCGTTGTCCTTTATGTCGTCATCACGCGACGACGGAATAAGACCATCGAGAAAGCTTCTCGTGTGCTCTTGCTCGCGGCGAAGTTGGTTTTGTCGATCCTGATTGGCGGCTGCTGCCGCTTGTCGTGCTGCGGTGCCGGGGATGGCGAGACTGGGGTACGAGACTGGGGCAAAGACGGTCTTTGTCATGTCGGCTGACGATGAAGAAGCAGTGGGGCGGCGGCGCATGCTGCTCAATCGCCGAAAGGGAGCAAAGGCCTTTGAGCTCGACGAGGCGGGTTGTGGCTGCATTTGGAAGACTGGAATTCCAGAGTCTTGGTGCATCAGGGGCATGCGTGGTTGATCGGCGCTGGGCTTGGACTGTGTTGAGCTCGACGAGGGCAGGGACTCGAAGAGAGAGTGAATGGAACCGCGGCGGCGCTGTGCAGGAGTCTGCGAAGAGACTGACGACATTCGCCTGCGTGTCTTTTGGCGTGTGAAGCTTCCGGCAACGGCACCAAAGGCGCGCGAGAAGGAGCTTGTCTGCGAGTGCTGCGAAGAGCCGTCAATGGACATTGTGGCTTCGTTGACCGCGTCGAGCATGTTGGTGTCCTTGATGTCGGAATGATAGGGGGCCGGGAAGGTCTGTGAAATGGTCCGCTTCATGGTGTGGGGCGGCGATGAAGGGATAGGGGTCGTGGTGTTGGTATTGTTAGCAGTGGCGTGTGTGCTGGTGTTGTTGTTGATGTTGGTGGTGGTGTTGGCGCTGCTGGGGGTGGAGTGGTTTCCAAAGTTTGTAGTGTTGGCAGCGCAGGAGGAGGATTCAGCGTCTACGTCGGAAGAGGTTTTGGGTCGATGCGACAGGATAGACTGCCTGCGATACATTGGAGGCGTGTCGGCCGGAGCGGGTAAGAGTTGCGGTGAGGATGAGACCGAAACAAAAAGCGAGGCGTAATGTCACAGCAGTAGTAGCAGCGTGAGCAACAGCAGCAGAGACGGGGAAACAGGGAGCGTCGTCGGGCAGGCTAAGGAGAGAGCAGCAACGAGCAGGGCAGGGCGGAGACGGGGCCAGGTAGAGAGCGTGCACAACCACGAGGGCGCGGCGAAATGAGGGTGAAGGAAATTGTAGCGGCAGAGCAAGGATGCGGAACAAGGGCGGAGCTCACGGGCAGAGGAGCAGCAGCATAAGTAAGAAAAGAGTAAGTAGAGAGAGAAGAACTAGCACGAGGCGAACGAGGGCAGAATGGGCCAAGCAAGTGGAAGCAGACAGAGCCAGATTCCGTCGCACCGCTGTGCTTGCTTAGCTGCTCCTAGTGCCAGCCGATCATAACACAGCGACGGCGGCGACAAGTGTCTCGCGGCTCCACCCCTGGCAATTTGCTGCTCACACCTCATGCACACCACAACACCATCATCACCGCCATCACCGCCACACCCATTGCCACCCTCCCGTTCTTCTTCGCCTTCTTCTTCTTCTTCTTCTTCTTCTTCTTCTGCCGCTGCCGCTGCCGCTGCCACTGCTGCTTCCACTACCGCTGCATCCATTGCTACATACTTGCCTCCATTGCCACTGCCACCGCTGCTTCTTTCACCTCCTCTACTATTCCTGGCACACTCCTCCCCCCTCCCCCCCTTGCTTCTTCATCGCTTACTCCCCTCTCTCCCTTCTCCAACACATCCCCTATCATCCTCCACATCCCGGCCTCGCTGCAACACTACCACCCTTCTTGCTACCACCACCGCCGGGCACGCCCGCTCTGCGACGGTTTTGGGCTGAGTCGCGTCTACACCACTCGAAACCAAACCACTCGCACTCAAACATGCCGGCTACCGCTCCACCCGCACTAACAATACCCGGCTTCTACCGCTTCGTCTTCTTGTGGATAGAACCATGTTCCATTCTACTCGGCGCAGTGTATGCAGCATGCTTCCAGACGACCTACTTGGACCTTACCATGCACGCCCCAAGCGCCCCAGACGCACTCGTCCCCATCCCAACAAAAATCGTCCTGACTCAATTGGCAAACATGTATCTCGGCCTTGCTTTTCTCGAAGCCTCAGTCCTGCGCGCCACTCCAGACGTCAAAGTCTGGAAAACCTTTCTCATCGGCCTGCTGCTCGCCGATTTTGGGCACCTGTACACGGTGTTGCCACTCGGCATCCAGATTTACTGGAGCTTCTGGGATTGGAATGCCATTGACATTGGCAACATCCCCTTTGTCTACATGCTGGCTGTGACGCGCATCTGTCTGCTTCTTGGTGTTGGCTTCCAGCACCCCCATGCACGCCCAAAGCCAAAGACGCCCTGATGGAGGGGGCAACTGCAACGAGCCGCGGCAATCTTAGCGAAATCGCCCTACACTCCTAGCCGTCTTGGGCCTCTGCATTCGGCTCGTCTTGGTTAGCATGATCATCGCAATTTCCAATCTCCACAAGCGTATTTTATCACAAACACAAAGTCCCACCTACTTACTAGCATCTCCCCTATAATACCTAACCATCCCCGACCACGTATCGCTACCCAAGATTCTCGCAAGCTGGCTATACACCCGAGCAGAACCAGATGCCCATTCTACCCCAGACCCACCCCTTAGACCCTGTCCATGGTCACGTCTCACCAACCACTACCATTCTCACCGCCCAAAGCCTTGCCCTCACCGCTCAGGCCACTTCCGATCGCGTACTACCGTGTCCGCAAATAGCAGCTTTTCCGCACGACACACGCTTAGCATTTCCACGACGTCTCTTACCGTCCAACGCTACCTTTTCACAGCAAGGCGCTGACACATCTTCATCTTGCCGTGCAAGTCATCCTCGCAGCATGACCCGCGTGGCGTCCCCTTGCACCCCAGCTCCGCCGAGAATAGCTCCTCGCATCCGTCGTTGCGCCATGCGATTTCCTCTGTTGGTTCCCTGCATGTAGGCCGATAGTCAAACCCAGACAGCACAGGTAGGTGGACAGTAGGTACATACTCGAGCATGTATCTAGTGTAAGTCGCCACTCGGCCATGCACTGCGCTCAACGTCATACCGCCCAAAGATTTTTTTCTTTCTTTTTTTTCCCCTTCTCTTCCGCCTTCACATTCCATGACCTAAGTAAAATAGTAGACTGTTGGTGTGCACTTTTGAGCAACGTCAGCTCGATCTCTTTTCTCCGATACACACTATTGAGGCGTTCATCCCTTGTCGTTGGGGCATGCAATGCAACCAAACCAAGGGGAGGCGCCCGCCGTACCATGGTACCAGTTAGTGCATGTATGTAAAGGCAAACCGCTTCGCCTGCTTTCGCTCGTGGGACATGTGGGCTTGTCGCACCGTGTCAAAACCACGCCATTTCTCAACAAACACATATGGCACGTGTACCATGGTTGAACCTCAGGGTCTTCGCCGACCTCGAATTAGAGAGGAGACAACGTTCTAGTCCCACGGAGCCAAAAAGACGGGTCATGTGGCATTTTTGCCCCCCCCTTTGACGATTGCGGGGCGAACCACCCGCTCGTCATGGCTCACGAACCCAGCGCTGTTTGCCGTCGTCAGCAAACGTTTTGTTCACATCACCCGTCTGCATCTTGCATCCCACGCGGAAGAAAAAAAACATGGCAATCATTCGCTTGGCTTGCCCAAGCGGTCCGTTTTTCGGTCGTTTGTTGCGTCACATATCCCTTTGGCCCATTGCATCCATGCACCCAACCTGCAACGGTCTTTTGACGATTTTTTCTTTCTTTCTTCTTTGCTTCTTGTCTCGTCTTTGTTTTCCTTTGTGTGCGTTGGTCGTGGGCTCTTGCACGTACAATAATGACGTCACCATCTCACGGCTCCTTTGGCCGTCGCGGGCAAAACCATCTTCGCATCGGGGTTTATATGGTGGGTCGTATGTATTGGTAGCTCGATAAGAATCCTACCAAGCCGGGTCTATGTGCCGCTTCCGCTGCCGTTTCCCGTTGACGAATGAAAAATATTGCCATTACTACTGCATTTTCATCTCATCGTCGTAATCTAGTAGCTGAATACACCTACTCTATATCCAAAACTGTATACTTACCCAACCTCTGCTAAGCAAAATCTCCTCCCAAACTCCATACCCATCATCCCATCTCTCCCCTATCCCCATTGCCACTTCCAACCCTATTACCCATATTCCCACCAGCACACTCTCCTCCAGGTGTACCGAATCCCACCCCTCGCCACTCTCCTACATACACCTTCTAAATCACGATTACTCTTCCCACCACCAATCCACCCCCCGGATCCCCATCCCCTCCATCCCCCCCGCCCACCAATTACTCCTTCCCTTTCCCCCTCCCCCATCGCCCTCCCCGCCCTCTCCATCTCATCCCACTCTCTCTTTCTCTCTCTCTCTCCCACCCCCATCCTTGCACTTGCTACCGCAACCCTCACTCCCTTGTCCTTGCCCCCCCCCCTTGCACTTGTCCGCGAATACATATGCATACGTACTCTAGCCCCGCTGTCATACATACATACATGTACATGTAGGCGTATATATGCAAGTACGTCAGGATATACCCAAGTCATCTCAGCACCGATATATGCATAGTACGTGAGTTTAGTTTTTTTAGTTTTTTAGTTTTTTTTTAAAGAAAAAAAAAAGAGCGGTGCGGTGCGGTGGGGTCCGGATAAAGGTGAGATGCGTAGTCTAAGTACTGCTACTATGCTGTGCTATGCTGTGAGTAATGGGTTTGGAGTGGCGGCGATGGAGAGAAGGATGGGTGGGAGAGTTTTTTTTTTGCTTTTGCGGAAGGAAGGGGGAGGGGGGAGACGTTGGGGAATGGTATAGGTGTAGGTGTGGGATCGGAGAGGCTGTAGGTGTTGTAGGTACAGAGGGGGGAATGACGAGAGAAGAGGAGAAGAAGAAAAAAAGGGAAAGGAGGGATCGAGATTTGTAGAGAGTAGGTATGAGTGGGGAAGATGGAGTTTTCCATTTTTGTTGGGGGGAGAGGGGAGAGGGGGATAGTCGAAGTGATATCATGTTTTCCAACATAGACCTATTACCGTCATGCCTGCGGGTTGCATAGGAAATGAGGAAAGCCAAATAATGTTGAATTGGGTTTGGGGGGGGGGGGGATATATCAGGGATATATCAATTGATGGGGAGACTAACCGAAAAAGAGAGAGAGAGAGAGAGAAGGAGGGAGGAAGAGGGAGAGAGGAGGGGGTATAATGAATCCGAATCTTCGAACCAAAAATGGGCAAACCCAGTGTCAAGTTATGGAAACACACATACACACACGCGCGCGCAGAAAACATAGTCACCAAACACTCAGCCAGAGCAAGAAACGCATAATCATATAGAAAGGAATATGATAAACTTTATCAGAACCTGTAATGAACACTCACACACCCCATGAAGTACATAATAAAAACATCAAGAGAGAGAGGCAGAAAAAGAGCAAAAGATCAGGGACAAGAACCAGTTTAAATATTCGCATTTCCACTTCGTATAGCGCAAAAAAAGGTATATATATATCAAAAACAGCACACACACGCATACGCACCACACACACACCCATAAAATTTCGCATTTGCCCCATCAAGAAAAAAGACTTCTGGACGGTAAATCTCTCGGCCGTAAAATAGCTCAAATAGAAGTAAGAAAGAAAAAAAAAGTCTCCGAAAAACTCCATACATCCCAGGCAAAAGATTGAAAGAAATCAGGAGTGGGAGCGAGTGGAAAAAAAAAGGGAAACCGAAATGCGAGTTGAACCAAGGGAGAGATACAGAGAGAGAAAGTATGATAATACATTTGGCGCGTGCTAAGGTTCAGAAAGGAGGAGGAGAAAAAAACAGATTTGGCCCAAAAGGGTGATATAGTAGAAAATTCCGAAATAAAAAAAAACCCACATTGCATATAAAAATTTGGAGGCAAC